CAGCAACATTTTAAGCTCTCTTTCTGATTAGTACTTTTAAATTTTTTGACAAAAATTTTAAAACTGTATAACTCAAATATTTATTCTGAGATATATAGCCTTGTAATTACCAACCATATTACAAGATCAAACTTTACCAGTTACCCCAGATGCCTTCCACATGACCCTCTCATAACTTTATCTACTCCTGTCCTGATCTGTTACTCATTTCTGTAATTTCTTCCCAGGGCAGTATAGAGACAGGAAAAAAGAAAGAAATCTCTATGGAGCCAGAAGGAGAAAGAGGATGAAGAGGAGGGAGAAGGAAGAGAAAGAAGAAAAAAAGAAAGAGAGAAAGAGGGAGAGAAAGAGAAAAGGGCACAAAGAAAAAACAGAGTAATCAATTAATTAATTGTATGTGCTATGGACAAATGTCTGCTCAGAGGGGTACATTCTTGAACAAGAGCTCTTGTGGCTGCTTTGGAGGGATCTGATTCTTTGTGGAGTCAACTCTGCCCAAACTGGGAGTTTTTCCCATGGAAACTGCTTACACCAACTCCTTTAACCCTTCCAACGATTTTATACACACTCAGGTTTCTACCTTTAGCTTTTTCCTACTTGAAATATGTACAATCCTTTATTTTTGCATTGAGCTCTGAAGCTGACAAAAATATTCACTTTGTCATTAGTATTTTATTGCTGTGCTCTGGATATTTGAGATTGCTGGGCAAGTTTCCTCTTGTTACTACTAATTGGGCATATACATATTTCTGCCATAATGAGTTTCTGTGAACTTAGCTTAAGCAACACAGATTTATTATCCCAGTTCTATAGGTCAGAGGGCCAATGCAGGTCTCACCAGGCTAAAAGGAAGGTGCTGATAGGGATGTTTCTGTCTGGATGCATTCCAGGAAGATCCATATCTGTGATCACCTGTGTTTAACAGAATTCAGTTCCTTGAAATTGTAAGACTGAGATCCCTGTTTTCTAGATAGTGGTCAGCTGAGTTGTCACTAGAAGTCCCAGATTCCTGTACCCAATTGCATTTTTTTCTCTTCCCTTTCATCATATTTGAGATTGAACCCAGGACCTTGAACATGCTAGGCAAGCGCTCTATGCTGAGCTACATCTCCAG